ACCTCAGGTCCTCATCGCTTCCACACCACAACAGTACGAACACCATTCTCTTTTGCATGCGCCTCTATTCCCCGCTAACCGAAACAGTCACAATACTCGTGGTAACCGCGGTGGACATAGCTTCAGAGGACGTTGACCAAATTGGCAAAAAGAAAACTGGCCTTCTGGATCTCCTCCACCTTGGGCTTGGCCCAACGCTTCCCAATGGACCAATACTCCCCAATGGCTGAATGCTCCAACTTGGATAAATCATCAACAATGGCCCAATCCACCATATTGGCCCAACACCTCTTCCAGACATCAAAACAATAATAATCGCTTCACAGGTCATCAATATACGATAAATCCGACGAACACTGCACCTGGAATTCTTGGCCACGCATCTCCTCAAGTCGGTTAAGCATACATCACAGGTCACAACACCACCATAGCAACCACATCTCCCCAAGATCCACAATCAGTTCTCATCCCAACAACTCTCTCAAATGCATTCAACACTATGACTTTCTCGGATCCTTCCGATGCCGGATGGTACATGGACACCGGTGCCACCGCTCATCTCACTGCTCAACCAGGTACACTATCCTCTCTCTCTTCTCATTCTCCCCTTCCTCTTATCACTGTTGCTAATGGTTTTCTCTTATCCGCCATTGCCACAGATAAAGCTTGTTTTCTTTCAACTTCTCGCCCTCTTTATTTAAACAATGTTTTACTTTGCCCAATTTTTTTTTAAAAAATATCATCTCTGTTAGACAATTTATCATTGATAATATTTGCTCTGTTGAATTTGATCCTTTCGGTTTTCTTGTTTAAGATCTTTATACTCGAACTCCTCTCATCCGTTGTGATAGCATCCTCTCTACGCCATTACCCCACCATCTCCATCAACTTCACATCACACTCTTCTTACTTCCACCCCTGCTTCAATTTGGCACCAACGTTTGGGTCATCCCGGGGACTCTGTCTTCCATTGTTTATCTTTTTCAGGTTTTTTAAATCCGATGCGTCTTCCTTATGTCATGCTTGTCAAGTGGGAAAACACATCCGGCAACCGTTTTTACCTTCAAAATCTATTTGTTCTTCTCCTTTTGAAATAATACATTCTGATATTTGGACCTCTCATGTCGCAAGCTTAAGTGGAATCAAGTATTATGTTATATTTCTTGATCAGTTTTCTCATTTTATTTGGATCTTTTCGACAGAAAAGTGAAGTTTTTGCAAAAAATTTACACTTTTTCAATTTTATCAAAAACCAATTTCAAACTTCCATCAAAGCTTTTCAATATGATAATGGAGGTGAATTCAACAACCGCCATTTTCTTGATTTTTTCTCAACTCATGGAATTCAATCAGGATTTTCCTGTCCTTACACATCTCAACAGAATGGTCGAGCGGAACAAACTCTTCGTACAGTAAACAATCTTGTACGTGCTCTTCTTTTTCAAGCAAATCTGCCCAACACATATTGGGTAGAAGCTTTGAACATAGCTGCACAATTGTTTAATATTATTCCCTCGACCACCATAAACAATGAGATTCCTTTCACTCGGCTTTTCAACAAACCTACTTCATAAAATCATCTCCGCGTTTTTGGTTGTCTTTGTTACCCGAATCTTTTACCAACCTCTACTAATAAACTTTCTTCCCGCTCTGCCAGATGCATCTTTCTTGGATATCCCACAAACCACCGTAGTTATCGTGTTTTGTGTGGTTATCATTGTCTTGATCTCTCCTCTCGCCGTATTATCATTTCTCTCCATGTTGTTTTTGATGAACATAATTTTCTTTTTGCTACATCGATTGCCACTATACCACAAAACAGCTCCACGTCTCTCCGTTCTTATCCACCACTTCCTCTAATTCATGCTATTCCAAATCCTCCATCAACCACCATTCCTAATAATACACCGGACCTTACTTTTACCTCTCCTCATCAATCCATGGACTTCTCATCTACTCCATCAGACCATGTGCCTAATAATCCTCCCCACCAAGATCAAGATCCCTCTCCCACTTCTACCTATCTTGTTCCAACCACCTCACACAACGATTCTCACCCTAGAACCATTCAAGTTCCTGCTCCGCCACCACAACACAACATGAGAACTCGAGGATAAAACGACATCACCAAGCCCAAGAAAATTATCTCTCTTCACACTGATCTTGTTTCCCCTCTTCCTCTTTCTCATGTTCACGCTGTTCATGATCCGAATTGGACTCCGGCCATGATAGATGAATATGATACTCTTATATTGCGGGACACATGGACACTAGTTCCACGCCCTCCCAATACTAACGTAATTCGTCCTATGTGGGTGTTTAGACATCAATTCAATGCAGATGGAACTCTCTCTAGATACAAAGCAAGACTGGTCGCAAATGGAAAATCCCAAGAAATTGGTGTAGATTGTGAAGAAACTTTCAGTCCTGTTATTAAACCAACAACAATTCGCACCGTTCTTGACATAGCCCTAGCACGAGATTGGCCGGTTCATCAACTTGACGTAAAGAATGCATTCCTCTATAAAAATGTCGATGAAACAGTCTATATGCATCAGCCACCATGATTTGTTGATTCGACCAAACCAAACTATGTGTGCCTCTTAAACAAAATCTTTCTTTGGGCTGAAACAAGCACCACGTGCTTGGTTCCAACGATTTGCAGATTATGCCATAAAAATAGGCTTCAGAAATAGTAAGAGCGATGCTTCACTATTTGTTCTCAGATAAGGTTCTAACATCGCATATCTACTTCTCTACGTATATGATATTCTACTCACTGCCTCCTCACTAGATCTTTTAAGGTCGATTCTAACCTTTCTTAAATCTGAATCTTCAATGACTGATTCAGGATTACTTCACTATTTTATTGGAATCTCTGCTCACAGGGACAATAATGGCATGATACTAGCCAACAAAATTATGTAGCGGATATCCTACATCGAGCTAACATGTCCAACTGCAATCTATGTGCTACTCCCGTAGACACTTCCGCTAAACTTCATGCCGATGCAGGACCACCTGTAGCAGATCCAACCTTATATCGAAGTCTTGCCGGCGCCCTATAATACCTCACCTTGACATCGCTTATGCTGTACAGCAAATTTGCTTACATACGCATGATCCACGTGAACCTCACTTTAATGCTCTAAAACATATCCTCCGATATATCAAAGGAACCATCACTCACGGGCTCCACCTCTCTCGCTCCTCCACTCACACTCTTACCGCTTATACAGATGCGGATTGGGCAGGATGCCCTACCACTCGTCGCTCTACTTCTAGGTATTGTGTCTTTTTCGGAGACAATCTGATCTCATGGTCATCTAAACGTCAACAAATAGTTTTCCGTTCCAGCGCAGAGGCTGAATATCATGGAGTAGCAAATGTCGTTGCTGAGATTACATGGATTCGTAATCTATTACTGGAACTTCATTATCCCATCAACATTGCCACCATCGTATATTGTGACAATGTCAGTGCCGTGTACTTATCTACGAATCATATTCAACATCAACGCACCAAGCATATTGAGCTCGACATTCTCTTTGTACATGAAAAAGTTGCTCTCGGCAAAGTGCAAGTTCTTCACGTGCCTTCTTTTCACCAATATGCTGATATCTTCACTAAGGGTCTTCCGTCATCATTGTTCAACGACTTCAAGTCCAGCCTTCACGTCAAAAGCTCATGACGTTTTGACTGAGGGAGGATATTAGATAAGGAAATCATATATTTTGATATGTATTATAGTTAACAAATAATTAGCCTCTAACGTCTATTTTCTGTACAACTCTGTATATAATCTTTAGTAATCAAGGGAACCAAACCAGCGATGGGAATTATTCTATCAAACAATATGAACCTGCAAAAAGAAAGAGGGAGGTTTTTGGATTGTGAGTTTTCTTTATTTTCTTGAAATCAAAACTTATTCAAGTACTGTTTAATAGATTAGTAGTATTATGACTTGTTTATAGGCTGAGATTATGTTGTGTTCAATGCAGGCGAGAACTATGAGTTTAGATGCTACAGTTAAGAGCCAAAAAAAAGAGCTTAACGATTGAGTTTAGATGCTACAGTTAAGGGCCAAAAACAGAGCTTCCTATGATCGGATGAAGATGTAATGATTGCTTCTTATTTTATTTTGAATGCATCCTTCGTACTTTACCAACTTCCAATTTTATCTACTATAATATTGTTCTAAGTTTATTCTACTTCTGATTCATTTTGTTATATATATAGGTGTATGGAACTTGACAGTGTGGACTGAGAACTTTTATGAGTTCTAGATAATTCTGCAAAGTTGTCACTTTGATGTGCCTAAATATCGGACAGTGTAGTGTGATTATTCTTCTGAGGTCATTTTATATCCATACTAAAGCGTATACTTTGTTGAGTGAATGTGTGTTCTTGCTGCATTAGTAATTTACCCTTTTGTTTCAAACAGTGCTTCTCTCGAGTAATTGAATCTTGTGTTTTTCTTTAGTTGCTCTGACTCTGCTTTCATTCGATCGAAAATCATTTCTTGTGCAGATACTCTCCGCATTAGCAAGAAAGAAATAACAACTTCTCTTCTATGATTTTACCACCGTGGTGTTGTTACATTATTATTATTATTTTTTACGTTTTTAATTGAAATGAATAAATCACTCCAAATTCTTGTAAATTAAATGATCAAATCACTCCAAATTCTTGTATATTTAAAGATGAAATCTTACCAAATCCTCAATAAATTTTTAGTTTTTATTTTTAAATCTCACCAAAGTCATTAGATATCTTCAAAATCCATCTAAATCTCACCAAATATAAAAACCCATCAAATATTCTGAAATTCCTAATCCAATACACCCGATAAAGAACATTTTAAATTGTGATCAAAAGTATTTGGTCATTTTAAAACATATTAAAAAAAAATTAAAACATACATAAATGCAAACCCGGATCCTATATTAATGAAAACACTTAAATTCTCAATCAAATAAGAGTTGGCATGTTTTTGAACCTCGAAAAGAATGTGACAAATCATGCATCAACATCTTATTATGTTGATCCTCATCTGCAGTATTCGATGGCCGAAACAAGATTGTTGCAGCTTTTAAGCGAATAGCATTTCTCAAGACATATTTGATGAGATCTATCTCTTTTTGCGATCCATTTATCCCTGTCCACTTGAAAGTTTCCAGGCTTGACAACAAACATGGAGGAACACAATCCAGTTGATTCTCCCAGCAAACTGATGGATCCGCACAACTATCTCTATGCTTCTGAGATCAAACAAGAGAGTTAGGCTTGAAGATACATCATATTAAACAATATGAATAAGATATATGTTTGGAAGAAACTTACATCATTTAGATAGACCTCGAGCTCTCGTAAATTAGGAGAATCTTTGAGTATTCGGAGAAGTAATTTCGACCAAACTGAATCACATGAACATATCTTGAGATGTTGAAGCTGGTTGAAGACAATACCGTCACGATATAAAGCCTGCACAGGATGCAAATAGAATAACAAAGAATTCAGTTTCAAGAAATTCTGGCTTAGTGCTCTAAAACGAGTTTGTTAGATGGAGGGAAACATGTTACCTCTTCTGCTTTGACTCTTACGCATAATGAAAGCCGCTTGACATATGTGATTGATGTAACGAACTTGTCGATATCAACAGATGATAAATCGATTTCCACCTCCTCCAACTTAGGCATATTTTCAGAATAGAAGGAGTAATGATTATCATCACTATCACTATCACTATCATTTATATCATTATCAGTTTCATCCTTGTAAACCCTAACTTTCAAATACTTCAAAGAAGGAGTGTTTATCACAAGACGGTCGAAATAAGAGTCTCTAAATAACTCTAGGGTTAGTCTCTGCAAGGATGGGATAGTTACATTAAATGCTTCATTAATATAGTCGATTACATTTGGTTCCAAAACAAGATCCTCAAGAATAGGGCAACTTGAAAGAAGTTTGCCAAGAGAGTTTTTATCTTTATAAGCCACACGTTGGAGGATCAAACGTTTCAATGAAGGAAGACAAGCCAGACGAGGAACATCCACGAGAATGTCCTTTATCAATGTCAAGGCCACGAGCGATCTGCAGGTATACAAACTACTGGGCAATTTAACACGCTTTTCTAAATAAATATCGAGTTTGAGACTTAACTCACGCACGCAGCGAGAAACTGCAATGACAACCCACAGTCTGATTTCTTCTGTTTAATTAATTCAGGGTATCCACCAATAAACTTGAGACGCAAGCTTTCTATGACTTGAGCTTTATGTAAAGGCAAATTCAACTTAATAAAACGCCGTAATGTCCATTGTTCAGGCGCTGAGTAATAAACGTATACAAGTTTAGACAACCACATCCAAAGAAACTCCCATCGCTTCGATAAAATACTCGTGCTTACAGCGACTTTTGTTGGAAGAAACAAGAGTACCTTCAAGAGCAATTCATCAGGTAACCTACTGATCTTGTCCATATCTTCACAACCTCCAAGCGAGAACAGATGCAGAGAATCAAGGAACGAACAAAAAAAAAGGACTTAGAAAATCTGCATAGGGCCGGCTGTTATATATTTAAAGTCTAGGGCAGACAAAAAGATTTGGTTCTCCAATTATTATATATCTTTAAATGAAAATAAAGGAAATTTTCTTATAAGCAAGCAAGTTTAAGTCTATTTCCAAAAAATAAATGACTAAAAATTGATTTGGGCTTTTTCACAAGTACTACTTAACCTTAGGTCGTGTAATGACTGTAACCAAAATCAGCATGACACATAGAAATTCTGGTTGATCAATGCACGATAAATAAACTTGACAGTACTATATTATTGATTTTTTTTTAATTTCTAATGATAATGATAATATTCCCTAAATCACGGTAATCGCCTAATCGACCATATTTGTGAGTCGGTAATAGTCCTCACGAATAATACAGTACTAGGTGATCGACCGTGTGCAGGTTATAAAACATTTGATATGTTCAATTATGATCTATTACAAATAAAAGTTGATGCCAAATGCCTCTAAGAATGTCTACATAGAATTGAAAGATTCAATTATATTGGTAGACATCATCATTATATTTAGTTAATTATATATTGTATACTAAAATTGATTAATTGGTTTTAATTGTTATAAAAAAATTTCTAAATTTTAATTAATTTCATTTTTGTTATTATTAGGAAAGCTTCTAAATTTTAATTTAGTTATTAATAATAAAAATTAAATTAACATATAAATAGATTATGAAAGAAAAATCATATATATTGAACAAAATAATTAAAAACTATATTTAAAATCATAATTAAATTATTTTAAAATTTTAATCACGATAAACAATTAAAATCTCAACTACTAACTTAAAATATATTAGTTGCGGTCCGTGTTGATGTATTAGACCAATGAGAGCGTCCACATATGACATATATACTCAATCTCATTGGTCTATATCAGCGTTTTTCATTAAACATAAAAAATATTAAATATTATAATAATTTAAATAAATTAAAACATGCAAATATATAAAATTATCATAGTCGAATGGAAAATTATGATAATTTTTTTTAACTGAATAAAATAAATTTATGTCAAAAATCAAAATCTATAATGTTTGTCAAAATAAAATAAAAACTCAGTGTCACAAAAACTAAACTAACAAAAACAAATGTGTAAATCAATAACAAAAAGTTAAATTAAAAAAAAGAAATTTTTTAGCATATAAATTTTAAATGAGTAATTTATTTAGAAAAAATATTAAGATTCAATTTTTATATAAACATATAAAATTTTTATTTGAAAATATCAATACTACCCAAAAAATATTCATGTTAAATTAACAAAATAAAAAGTCATCTAAAATTTGATATTTAGCATCATTATTTAGAAAATTAACAGAAAAAGCTTAACTAACCAAAAATAATACTTTATGCTAATTACTGAAGAATGCAGTATAAAAAAAATTAACTAACAAAAAAAAACATAAATAATTTCTTGCAACATTTCAATACAACTAAAATAAAAGTCTACATCTAGAAAGGTAAATTAACAAAAAAAAAAAAAAGATAATAACTTGATATCTATGTTATTTATTTAACAAAATCAATATGAACAGAATATGTAAGAGAATAAAAAAACCTAAGCAATACTAAAAAACTTACCTAACAAAAATAATATATATTTAATTTAATTATTTAAGAAATCAATATTAAGAAATTAGTTAACTAAAAAACCAAAACGAAAATTAAGTTTTACAAAATGTTAAAATTTTTAAAAAACACCTAAAAATATATTGACTTGATATCTGACTAACTACTTAAGAAATCTATATAAAAAAATTTAACTAACAATAAATAAAAATGAAATTATGTCTTCAAAATACCAATATTTTCAAAACAATTGTGTGTAAAAAATTAAATTATCAAAGGAAAAGTTCGTATAGAGTAAAATTAGCTTGATATTTAGGCTAACTATCAAAAAAATATTAATTAAAAAAAGCAAATGATGGTATAAACTTTTGAGAAAAGTTCATATGAAAATTATAATAATCAGTTATAGCTTGTCAAAAAAGTATTTTAATTAATTTAAAAAAGTAAATTTAACAAAGAAAAAACATATATGTAAAAGATATTAAATTAGTATATATGCTACCTATTTGGAAATCAATAAGAAAAGAGATTAATTAAAAAAATATATATGTTTTAAGTATATAAAACATGCAAAAATTAGATAATTAAAATAAAATATAAAATTACCGTTGAAGATATTTAAAATAATATAAAACAAGATCTAAGAAGAAAATTAGTTTGAAATTCATTTACAGAGAATGCATGATTTCTAAAATATTGATGTTGATAATGAATAACTATTTAAAGTTATAGTAGGTTATACAAGTTTCTAAATCAAACATATTATTTAATTTTACAAAGATTAATATTTTGGGTGCGCCTGGTTTAGAAACTAACAAAGAAAAATACTACATACATAACTTATCATTCAAAATATAATAAATAATAAAGTCTGATTTGTATATATAGTTACTGCTTATAACTTAGCCAACATGAAAAACACATGTGCAACATCTTCTAAAATTTTATTTAAATAATATAATATGACAAAGTTATGAATCAAATTCAAAAGGAATTATATGTAGATAAACTATTCAAATCAAAACATGAATAAAACACACAAAAGAAAAAAAAAAAAAAAACTGTGATAATGTGAAGTCTTTACACCATCTTACATGTTTAAAAACAAAAATTAGCAAAAAGTTGAGTGCAAATAAAACATCATATAAACTGAATAGAGATATAACCTAAAATTCGTAGAATATATGGTGGAGAAGCAAAAAACAGCTTTACACGATTAGTATAGCTTACTAACAAAAGTAAATTTAAATCAACATATATCATATATCATATATGTATAGGTACAAAACATGAGTGAGATATTTAGTAAAAAACTAAATATTTAAACATATCATAACTATTATTTGAGAAGCATGTTTACTAAAAAAATCCTATGTATCAACACTTAAAGAAAAGTTAGTGTAAAACAATGCCATGTCATAAATGTGACATGGCAAATTTCCTAAAATAAACGAAATATTTTGATTGATTAAGTTAAAACTAAATAAATCTCATTTTTAAATAAGAAAAAAGTTTATATCATATGTGACTAAATTTTCATTATATAGCAAGAATTCGAAATTATAAATAAAACAAAAAAATAAACAGAGAGAAAAATAAATTATAAGTATCCTCTTAGCAACTTTTTATTATTATAATATTATATATATGAATAAAAAGTAGAAGTAAAAGTACAAAATGAATCTTTACGACTTTGGTTTTATATAAAAATCCCAGGTTATATTTTTGATTTAAAGCATCTCCAACTCACCTTTATTTTAAATATTCTAATTTAGAGGAAAAAGAAAGGTTGTTACTTTTTTTCAATTATAGATGAACAAATAATAATCTTTCTTTTTTTTGTAAAATAGGAATAGGTTGGAGAGAAGTCCACTTATATTTTAGAGAAAAAAATAAAAAAAAAACATTTGATATTATCTTAATATTAAATATATTATTAAAGATTAAAAAATATGAGTCAAAGAAGAGAAAAAAAACAAGAATCGATTTTATGTTTTTATTTCAAATATTTAAAAATATTATCTTACACATATTAATTTTTTCATGCATATATTTGTTTCAGCATATTAAAACATTATTTCATGAATCAAATTTTTTTTATATGTTGTGATCTATTATATTTTGTATTAACAAATATATTAAAGTTAGGAATAGATCAACTCTTAATTTTTAATATAACAATCAAATATTAAATATATTATTTTACACTTTAAATAATACACAACTATTTTACACAGAGTTTGTGGAAATGAGCGATTGCGGATTATTAAAAATTTTGACGAAGAGATGAGCGGAGAGCTATAAGAGTATTTTATGAAATATGATTTCACAAATTTAATATTTATTGTATTTCTATTGAGAAACCATATATCATAAAACGCTGAAAAATATTTTTTTTGATTAAATACAAAACGATGAAAACGGTTTTAGTGATTGTTGTTAACAGCCAATAACTGCATCGTATAAAAACATAATATTTGCGGAAAATATCAAAAAAACTTATCAACACCTTAATCTTACAATTCACTTTTTTTAACTCATACCTAACGCATAAATATACTTATTATTTTTTAAAAAAAAAGAATCAACCATACAATATAAAAATATGGATTACAAAACATATACTTTGTTATTTTCTTTTAACACATAAAAGCCATACTTCGATTTTCTTACAAATGTGCATGTAGATATAAATATTAATTATGTAAAAGTCAAACTTGCATGCAAATTTGTCGTGCATACATTTTAATAACCTTGATTACACTCTAATTTTAATTTTAGTTGTTAGACAATTTATATTTTTTTAAGTCTTTATATGTCCTAAGTGCAGTGAGGTGGTTGGTACGCACGAATGTGCGGACCAACCATCTACCTGCTTTTAGGATAAGTAAATATGGTAAAATTTATTTTGGTTTAATTAACAATAGGCCAAGAAAAAAATACTTAGAAGAAATATATATATATATATATATATTGGCAATATTATATTGTGTAAAATTATAGTATAGATAATATTCAAAACATATTATAAAATTTTAATTATTATTTAATATCACTTTTATATTTGTAATTATTTGTTAATGTAAAAGCTAGAAAAAATAAAAAATTTCAAAAGAGATAAAATGATAGGAAACGCTTGTGTGAGTGTTGTTGAATACTAAATATATATATTTATATAAACATAATGTTTACATAAAACATAAGAAAATTAATAAATATTTGAATATTACAACTAATTATATCTAAAAAAGTTATACATGCATATGCGTGCGAGTCAAAAATAAAAATAAATAAATAATTATAGATTTTCATATTTTCCTATTTATTTAGTTAC